GTGTGGCTATGTATTCACGAATTATCACCTTACAGGATCCAGCCCTTAACCAGCCTGAAGGCACATATGCCGAGCGGAAAGGCATATATCGCCATCCGATTATACAGAAGGCGATAAACGCGACATGGTTTGCGAACAGGGCTGACGAAGGCATCATCTTTCGGCAATTTTTTGAGCCAGCAATCTCAATTGAGACAATTGCACTCGTGCTCACAGCGGTACGTCTTGTAGTCCGCTTTCTGTGCAGCAATGACATACTTAAATGATCACTACTAGGTTCATTGCTGCATCGACGAGTGGGGACCAGGGAGGCGGACATTGGTAGACTTCACCGAGAACGACTACAAGACAGTGTACCTGTCCCACAGGGATAATCTTCGGGCTTTCGACGAGCTGGGCGATGACGCGCACCTCGTGCTGCTCAAGCTCCGCAAGAGGCTTTATGCCGAAGCTAGGTATAAACCCATCTTGTGTCCTCACTGTCTTCGCGTGTGTTTCCTCATCTTCGTGCTGCAGGTTCCACTCTGGAGCCGAAGACATTGATCGCTCCTTCAATACCCTCTCGCGCGACGCCTTGTCACATGCACTCCAGGAAGCCTTGTTGGCATCTGCTGGCGACGACAATGAAGATGCCGATGGCACATAGATTGACTCGGATCGGTTTTCCTGGTAAGCACCTCTCGCAGAATTAGTAACCTACTTGCTTACGAACTCGTCCGACTAGCCTATGGACAATCTACATACTTAGTTCCTCTGTGCTTCGTGGGATCATCTCGTGAATTGGACATTGCCCAGTATTGCACTTACTACTTCCATTAATCGTACCCTCGTCGTAACAAACATCCGCCATCACAGTTACCACATCTCACTCGCTACTATACCCATAGTAATTTGGTAATGGTGTCGTCGGAGTCATTCAATGATCTAATATAGTCGATTTAATATTCAGATCATTATGTGAGCTGCTGGCGAATGTGAGTAATCAATACAATGAGTACTATGCTCCGAGCTGTATCCTACAACAGTATATGTAAGATTACACCGGCATATGAGTCTACGATACTACGGTTTTATTGTGTACTATGCTTTCCTATATTTACTGGGATGGCTCTATGACCTGCTATGACTCGCTACAATCTCTGTAAATCTGCTATGCTCTGCTATACACAGGGGGGATTGCAATACACCTATATCAACTATGTTTGCTATATTGCCTCACCTAGGGATTGTGATTTTTCCTGATGCGCGACGCCGTGTCGAAGCTGATTGGGCTCACGCTAAGGCAGTACCAGCCTGAGCACTCGCCGCGGCCGCGGCTGCCGCCCCAGTTGCGTTCAGTGTGCGACTGGCAACCACAACACGAACCTTATTACAAGTCCTCCATGGTGCGTGTCGTCCGCATTAGACGCGAGAGAGACGTCGGGAGGATAGAGCAGAACACGCAGACAGCGGTGCACACGAGCGAGCGAGAGGAGGAGGAGAGCAAGAGCAAGAGACGGAAAGAGCGCTGAGCGCTGAGGCCTGAGGCGCGGACGCGGCAGGCGCCGGGAGCCAATCAGGAGCGCAAGAACGTGTTTGGGCGCTCCGGCGGTGAGACACGTACGACCGTGACGGATGGACGCCATTCGCAGGCTGTCGACAGCGACTCGAGGGCGACTCGAGGAGGAGCAGTACATGAGGTTGGGGGTGGGCAGCTGCCGGCTTACGTCAGTATAGGATTTTCCCCTTGTGCAATGCCTTGCTAGGAAAGCATCGATTTGGCTGTGTGCGACTGCCACCTGCTGCGCCCGCACACCTTCCTCTCCTTCTCCCTCTCCCTTCTGCGACACGCTTCTTGTTTGTGACATTTACGTGGCGAACATGGCAAACCCCTACACGAGAGCGCCACCACTGGCAGGCCTCGGCTCGTCAAAATCTCTTGGTGATAAAGACCCTTTCTACGGATGGCTACCTAGGCATGTTACTGCGAAGCAGGTAACGAAGGCACTAATGGTGGCTACTTGATTCTCGTTCGGGTTGATCTGCAACTGAGCGATGGCCAGGAACGGGATGTCAATCCGTTTACGAGGCAGCCGCACTCCGCCCAATACAAGAAATTTCTCGAGATGCGCAAAAAGCTGCCAGTGTTCGCGCAGATGCACAAGTTTTTGAACATGGTGAGTCAATAATGGATCTCAACGATCGCGGGGGGATCAGAGTCTGCCCCAGGCATGCGGCATCCCCGGCGCAGAGGGACATAACTGATGACCGTGTCCGAGAAAGTTCAGTGCAAACCAGATCATAGTCGTGGTGGGCGAGGCCGGTTCGGGAAAGACGACACAGTAAGGACTTCATGGATACGCTCCCCTGTCGCGCCGGAATTGCCCTTTACTGACTGACACACTTAGAATTCCGCAGTTCGTTTGCTACTCCGACTTGCCTCATACCAAGGGCAAGCTCGTGGCGTGTACGCTGCCTAATCGTGTAGCTGCTATGTCCGTAGCGAAGCGAGTGGCATATGAGATGGACGGTGGGTTGCCTCATCGTGATGTTGACGTTGTGGACTATCTGACAACACCCTAGTACCATTGGGGAAGCAGGTCGGATACTCGATTCGATTTGAAGACATGACAGAGCCAGGAACGACCTTCTTGCAGTACATGACGGATGGTATGCTACTCCGGGAGGCGATGAATGACCCAGACCTGACGCGATACTCAACCATCATCCTGGACGATGCCCATGAACGCACGCTTGCAACAGATATTATCATGGGTTTGCTGAAGGCGCTAGCAAAACGCCGCACCGACCTCAAGATCATTGTCATGTCTGCGACCCTTGACGCCCTCAAGTTCCAGAAGTACTTCTCTGTGAACAAGAGCGGTGAACCCGCACCCTTGTTCAAGGTTCCCGGACGAACGCACCCCGTTGAGGTCTTCTATACGCAGGATCCAGAGCCAGACTACGTCGAGGCCACGATACGCACCGTGCTCATGATCCACCGCGCAGAGGAGCCGGGCGATATCCTCCTATTCCTGACAGGTGAGGAAGAGATCGAGGATTCGTGCAAGAAGATCAAGCTTGAGGCGGACGACCTGCTCAACCAGGACCCTGATAGCGTCGGCCTGCTCGTTTGTATCCCCCTCTATTCTTCCCTCCCACCACAACAGCAGCAGCGCATCTTCGACCCGCCGCCTTCGCCACGTACACCGGATGGCCCTCTTGGGCGGAAGGTCGTCGTGTCGACCAACATTGCAGAGACGTCGCTGACGATCGACGGTATCGTGTATGTCGTCGACCCTGGGTACTCCCAGCAGAATGTGTACAACCCGCGGATACGTGTCAACTCGTTGCTTGTGAGTCCGATCTCCAAGGCCTCGGCGCAGCAAAGAACGTGTCGTGCGGGACGAACCCGACCAGGCAAATGCTTCAGATTGTACACAGAGCGAGATTTCATGAAGGAGATGGAGGAACAAACACATCCAGAGATCCTGCGGAGCAACTTGGACGGCACGGTGCTGCAATTGGTCAAGCTGGGTATCAAGGTACGTTCTGCATCATAGCCATATGCTCCCCGATTCATATTATGTTCCGTAGGATCTTGTCAGGTTCGACTATGTTGACGCACCAGCACCGGAGACTCTCATGCGTGCTTTAGAACTGCTCAACTACTTGGCTGCGATTGACGACGAAGGCAACCTGACCCCACTCGGCCACATGATGGCAGACTTCCCACTCGACCCGCAAATGGCTAAAATGCTCATTGTTAGCCCTGAATTCAAGTGTAGCAATGAAATCCTCACCATTGTCGCGATGCTTTCAGGTACGGCCCAACACTCTTCATGTCATTGTTCAGTAGTAACCGGCACGCTATAGTGCCCAATGTCTGGTCGCGCCCGCCAAATCAACGCAGAGAGGCGGATGCTGCCAAGGCCTTGTTGACGGTCCCTGACGGAGATCATCTGACGCTGATGAACGTTTACAATAACTACCAGCAGAGTGAGCCCCGTTGCTTCGTTGTTCAGGACCTCTTTCCTTATCGCATCCTTCGTCAGACTCGCACGACAGAAACTGGGCGTGGAACAACTACCTCTCCCAACGTGCACTTCAACAAGCAGATAACGTGCGAGCGCAGCTGCAGAGAAACATGGAACACTTCAACATCGATCTCGTCACGACAGCCGACCCCAAGCGGCTGCACATGAACGTACGGCAGGCGCTCGTGTGCGGGTTCTTCACGCAGGTTGCACACAAAGAGGGAGAGAAGGGCGTGTACATAACGGTGAAAGACAACCAGGTCGTTAACTTACATCCATCGTGCGGGCTGGACAACAAGCCGGAGTGGGTCATCTTCAACGAATTTGTGCTCACGACCGAACCATACATCCGAACGGTGACGGATCTTCGGCCTGAATGGTGAGCTCATTCCATCATCCTTCCTGCACGAGCTGACACACGTATGCAGGTTGTTGGAGTACGCTCCCAACTATTACGACCTCTCCAGCTTCCCAGATGGCGAGGCGAAGCGCACATTGCAGCGAGTTGCCAACAAACGGTCCCGCAAAGCTATAGGCTCGGAGAGCACTGCATCGAACGGCAAGAGTCGTCGCCCGACGAAGGCCAAGAAATAGGTTTGCTGTAGCTCGCTAATAGCGTTAGTTTTGGTGTGTACGATGGCTTCTGTAGATTTTGGGTGAGGGTTTGTATGCTAGTACTTGACCGTGCCATGACTGTAATAGCAACAAGAAGATGTCAAGGTCGTTCTTCGGTACGCATTAGGCTCATACCAAAGACCCTCCACAGGCGAGGGGTTCAACTCCTCATATCTGTTTCTTGTACGATAATGTCGATCAATGACTGTGAAGTTGTCGAGACTGCTCTTATTAATAGTAGAGGAGCGGACGTCACCACACCATGTAGTGGCATGCTACTGGCGCCATTATTAGCTTACCGGTTGCTCTGTACGATACATTCGCGCGCGCTGACGAATAGCCAGGAGCTACATAGCTACGAAGACAATGTTAGTGTTCAACGTCTGCATCGTCTTGCATACCAGCTCGTTCGGTACGGAAATCGCTTCCTTTGGAGTACGTCTGCTTTGCACTGTTGTTATAATGATCGCACGTCAATACAATACACGATGTTCCGTCGAGCAAGCTGCGACCAGCGAGCGGGGATATAAGTGAGCCACATTGCGAGCTCTGAACATACATCGCGATGTCCGTCACAATCTGTGGCGCCACGTCCACGAGACAATATCTGCAGTCTTCTGTGCTATCCTTCAGATAGCAACGCTTGTATCTCGCGCCTGGCTGACGGACCTGCTCCTGCTCCTGCTGCACCAACAGCTGCGTAGACAGGTAAGTAAATTATTAGCCAGCGTTGTATGTCTTGATCGTAAAGAAACTTACCGTCTTCACAGTCACTACTCACAGTCTCGTCCTGAGGTCGTCGCCGCATCCTGCTCTCACGAGCCTCCCATGCAGCGACTCGGAGCCCTCCCATCTTCACTGAAATTTGTGTCTGGACGCCTGGCGGAAGGGCCACCTTCTTCGACGCGGTGCTCTCCGATGCGACTATCGATGTGCAGCTGGTTCAGTCGAAGAGGCTGATGCCAGGCGGCGCTCGTGGATGACCTGGCAATGATAGACAGAGTGTGATGTAAGAATATGCAATCGAAGATAGTTTCAACGAGGCAGGGTCATGCAAATTGTAGACGGTCGAGACAGGACGTACCACCGGCGGGAAATCTCACTGGCGGTGGTAGCTCAGGCGAAGTCATACGAGTTTTCAACCATCCAAGCCTACAAGGAGTACCACCACAGTATATGCGCATGATTAGGAGATATGGACAAACGGGGTCGAAGGCGGTATGCGTTGTCCAGGCCCGTCACCAGGACCTTCCTGAGGTGTCCTCCCCTTTGCACGAACGAATGCAGTCCGTACCTATCATCGCATCCGTTCAATACTTGAGCTAACGCATACAGAATGCAGACTATTATGGAACGTACACTTCTGACCCAGAGTATGTGCGTGGGCAGAACCAAATCGACGTTTGTCACGATCCCGAGGTGTTCCACCGTAACCGCAGCTCAGCCTAGCGTCCCGTCGGGCATGCGCCCGTGTTTTTGTGACAGCAGCCTGTTCCATCGTCCAACCCGGGTGATGCGAGTGTAGTTCAGATTGCGATTGAGGGTATCGGGTAGTGGTAGACGACAGGTTCACGCTCGGTGGGTATGAGGACCGCGCCTTTACAACGCACGTCGCTACTGACAACTGTCCTTCGCCCGTCATCGCGGTCGAGCGTATGGCGCTCCAATGGGTCGGGGCTTAAAGGCTGTATGCAGGTGGGCGTGGACGAGGCGTACGTGTCCGGGACTGGCATGATGAGACGCGAATGGGAATGGACGAAGGACTACGGTTGCCCGATAGTCCGGGGCCGGGCATTTTGCACGACGCGCCTCAGCCACAGCGCATCGCTGGTCTGCCGCCTGCTCCATACCCTCAACAACTCACTCAATCCTCACTCTACGGTCATAGAAACGCTCCCGCTGCACTACACGCACCGGGAACAGCAAGATAGAGGTCCCAGGAGGTTCACATCGACCTCTAAAGTCCACAAGAAGGCATGACGACCTCGGGAAGTGGTAAGCGCCCGACGCGACTCGTACACAAGTCTGGGGGATACCTACACACCTGCACCACCTTTCTGGTTAGACTCAAGGCAGGATCGGACCGTGACGGGTGCTCTGAATGGAAAAGTATATATGATATGGTGAGTTATCATATGCACACACTGTGTCTTTACTTCTCAGACTACGGGTACGGCTCGAATCGGATCGGCCCATGCTCTCAGACTCGGACAGCGTTGCAGGCGCAGGAACTGATCTGCGGAGTCAACCGCCATAGAGCACGAGGGGAAGCACAGTGGTGCTTTCACCTGTATTCGTGGCTGCGACAGGTGAGTGATAGCATACCCTTGTCTCGGAGTCATACTGTGCCACAGGCCTTCGTGTACAGTGACAACTGAAATATATATTGTGTCTCGAATCCATCAGGAAAAACGCTCTGGCCGCCCAACAGCTTGTATACCTCCAAGAGCTGGGACAACCTAGGGCGATTACTTGAAGAGCTCTTGTGTATCCAGCAGCGTCTCTCGGACATGTTTCATAGCACTCTGTAATTACTCGTGCCATCGCTCACTGCAATCACTGACCCATTGGCATCTCTGTAGAGAGCTAAGGCCGTGCCCACCTTCAACCTCAGACTGCTCAATCACTTAGCACCAGATGGCATCGCATTGGATAGATGAATATTATTACAGAGCACGTAAGCACTTCCAAACAACAAATGTACTGTACTAGTGAATCAAGTACGAATATGATGCCAAAGCAGGTGGACTAGACAGTGAGTGAGCGGATTATAAGCTACGTCCCAATTTGTATGTGCAAGCCTTTACGCACATGATACCACCTATAGACCGAGTTGTCCGTGGCCTGTTGCGGACTGTGGGCTTGTTGCGGTTGATCTGCAGAACCGCAAACGATGGGTCAGCCCGCCCTCGTTCCCAGAATCGCGCCAGGCTCGCGCAGTAACAATAGTTGTTGGTAGGTACACTATATAGACAACTCACTAAAGCTTTGCTTTTGTTCGTCACTCCTGCCCTTCGTCCTTGTACTATCTCCTTCGCCAGTGCACGCTTCGCTCATGCCTTTCGTGCTTGATTCCAATGCGTTGACTTGAGCGTGTGGTTGTTGTTTGTTGTACGAGTCTGCGGCAGCACCGCACCGCTGCCCGTCTGGCGCAGTTGCGCGAGCGGCCGGTACGAAAGAGGTACGAGAGAACTGACGTATCTGTGAGCAGGTAATATCAATGGGCAGGTGAGTGCGCGCGACAGCGCGTGACAACAGAGACTTAGGCATTGCAAAAAATGGTACTCGCAGGTGCTGGTGAAAAGCGACAAGTTGTGAGTGAGCCTGAGGGACGAGTGACTTACACCGGATTCACGTACTAGCATTCACGGATTTGAACAAGACTCGAATCGACATCAGCATCGAAGTCGAAGATGTTATGCGTCGCCTCCTTCAAGTTGTTGCTCCCGTGGCTCAACGACGTCTGTGAATCCACAATGAACGGTGGCGACGGCTATCCTGCAAGGACAGCAGTGGTAAATGTATGCACAACAAACAGGACACACAGTACGTACTACAGCAGACTTTCATGAATTTGACTGAGGCCATAGTAATGGACGTGCGGTCGGGAAAGAGCGCTGGGTGACCAGCCGAGGGTGGGCACAAGAGCCAAAGGCTGGCGGTGGGTGGGCAAGCGAGTAAATCAGTGGTATTTGTGAACACGTGCGTTCGCAAGAAGGGGAAGTAAGGCGGCGGGAAACACGAACTTGCCCGCAAGGCTAGTGACCGAGACACGTGACAAGAGGAAGTGAGTAAGCGAGGGAGAGAAGTCGAGGGTGCGTGCAGGCCGGATGAGCGGACGGACACGCCGGCATTTGAGCAGGATGGACGGACTGGCAGGTAGTAGGTGTAGGCACCGTGAGCTCATTGCTCATTGATGTGCTCGCCGAGAGGCATCCGCTACGATTCACAACGTTGTAAGCTAATGTACACGGTCAAAGAGACGTCAACAGGAGAACATAAGTACAGAGCAACACCTCCAGCTAGTGGCTGGCACACTACGGAGCAAACGAGCTGGAAACTGAGGTAGTCGGCATGGGTAGTGATACGTGACGGCGGAGCAACGATTGTGCACTGATGTGGGAGTGGGTTCAGAATGAAACAGTATAGGAAATGGAAGACGCACACTTCAATCCTATGCCACATCCCTACTCTTCCCCCTGTCCTTCCTCCACGGTTATCACGGTGTAGCCGGCTTCACCGTGCAAGGGTCGCACGGCAACCTTTCCCATGGGAGAAGAAAAATAGCGGACCTTCCAAGCCCGCGTACGTATTGCCGGGGATTAGGCAGACCCACTGGCCATAGAAAGTCGAGCTCAACGAAGCCGACCTTCATAGAGCACAGGGGTAGCGTTGGGCGCCGACCTTGCGCGTATTCCAGGGCGTACAGAGTGTCTTCAATATGAGACAGCCTGTAGACAGGAATTTGCCGGAGTGGGAGTGGGAAGTGACACTGCCCGCCGGCCAAGGAAAACGAGTTTGCGAGCGCATCAAGTGGTCGATAGTT